ACCATTATAGAAGGGAACTGTTTTACAGTATTCTGCCTGCAGAATATTTTTAATGCGGGCATTTTCACCTACTAAGCTTTCTGAAGCAATATAAGTAGTTGCAGGAGTAAGTTAACAATATTTTTTTGTTTTTTTGTTCTTCAAATTAGGACACTCAGGTTCACGTGTTTATTTTATTTTCAGAACAGCAAGCAACTTCCTTAACAAATACAATCCAGAGAAGGAACAAGCAGGAATCGATGGCAGAGGCTAACACTGACAGCACTGTGGAGCATAATGCTAGCAGTCCTGCTGTGTTGACAGCAATGCCACCACAATCACAGTGTGGTTGTGTCTGTGGAGACCGAAGATGAGCCAATCCTGTCTATTGCAAGACAAAGATTTGAGACCAGGCCCGCTCAAAGTAGACAACTTGCTACTCATCAACAAAAGAAGAGGATACCCTTTGGAAGGTCTTGAACAAACTCCCTGAAAAAATATAAGCTGTGAATATATACCAGAATACTACCTCTGAATGACCATGGTCCCTTTACTCACAATAGTTCCTGAAGTTAAAAAGCTGGCCCTCACATGGATATGTTTAAGTTGACTCAGTCGTACTGTCCTGATGCAGTACACAACACTTCACATGTATGCCAGCCTGCACTAATATTACCTGCAGCACCACTACCTCCATACAATTGTCTTCACTCTTCCTACAATAAAATCCATTCCCTGCTCCATTTACTTACCCATCCGTATTATCACACCACCATGGCTATACTGCTCCTCTGCCACCTCCATCCTTTTTTATTTTTTTTTTTCAAAACATCGCCAACATTCTAGTAAGGACAGACCTACTTACCATGTCCTAACTAGTCTGAATGGAGGTAACAAAGGAAAACTCTCCACACAGGATCTCATTGCCCTCTTTGCACCCCACTTTTATTTTTAGATTAAATTTTAGGATTTGTGATTAAATTTAGGGCATGTGATCAAAGAATTTTCTTCATTAGGCCCTGTTCAGGTGGCCTCCAGATCACCCTTTAACTCCTTAGGCCTTGTCCACATGGGCCTTGATTTTTGCATCCCTGTTGTATGAAGTGAAATTTTAGTTGTAGAGAATAATAAAAAAAAAAATTATTTCATTGACCATTTTTGTTTGTGTGAGTTTTCTTTTAAAATCACGCAGTTTAGTACAGTCTGGGATATTTGCACTAGCACTCGAATAGCACTTAAAATTTGTGACAAGCTTTAAGGATGTTCCCCCTTTTTTGCAAGTCATACATCTATACTCTAGAACAAGGGTACATCCCAAATCTTTATTTTGCAATTTCAACTATTGTCCTTGATACTTTGCACTGTTGTTGCAAGTGCACCATATGGCAATAATCACCTTAAAGCAGAACTCCAGACATTTTTTTTTATTTCTTGTTTGTAAACTGTTCCATCTCCTGACTTATATCCTATGGCCAGATCACTGCTCTTGTCTTCTGATATCTTTTTTTTTAATTTCTGCCAGATAGTATAGCTCGTACTTCTAGCTGCTGCATATTAGGACTGTCAGCTCTCATACATGGAAGGGATAGCGTTATTTGTGCTCCCACCCCCCCTTTTTCCATTGATGTACAGAACTCCGTGTAAATGACCAAATAAAAAAAAAGAATCTGGGGTTCTGCTTTAAGCGTTACAAATTAATAATTCTGGGGCCAAAGGAGGGTTGTCCCACTAGAGTATAACAGATGATCTGTGGGTACCGTTGCCTTCTGATTCTGTCTCCTGCAGTTCAGGCTTTGGTAAAAGCATTTCTAAAATCTTACATACAAATTATTTATATAACATTATTTACAACCTCACAGTAGTGCTGGCTAAGCCCTTCCTGCCAGCAGTAAGCATATATTTGGCAGCACTGCAGTGGACCTTATTCTGTATGCCTTCAGCACAGTGTCTAATTGAGCACCCTCTCTCTTTTGTGCTACCACATACTGTAAGTGTATGACCAGCATGAAGGGATTAAAAAAGGAGTTGAGAATCTATACACAGAGTTTTTTTTTATTCTTTTATTTTTACAGATTAGCCAATGTTAAAATCAATTTTCTGTCAAAGTGCAGATGATTGGGTATGCATTGTAAACTGAAATGATTGGATAATTAAAGGTAAACTCCAGCTTTCTGTCACTTTAAAATAGTTTGGACCAAGCTGGCCCAAACAAATTATTTCCTTTACTAAGAGTTGTGCCTGCTGTGAGCACTGTGTAAACGTTTTTGTAGCATCAGCTGCATACAATATACATTGCTGTGTTCCGGCAGTGGGATAGGAACTTCCTGTTCTGCTCCTAGAACAAAATCGAGTCAGGCTAAGCGCTGCTTAGCCATTCACAGGTAAATTTGTATTTTAGGAATGAACATGGGGCTTCCTATGATTGGATGAGGTGGAGATTGTGTTGTCATCTGCCCACCTCTCCACCTCAGACAGTCAGAGGAAGCTTTGTATTCATTTGGAAAATGCAAAGCTTCCTGTGAATGGCCCACTCCATTCCTGTGAATGTTCCAGGAGCTGGACAGGAAGTTTCTGTACCACTGCCAGGACACAGTGCTGTATATTGTATATAGCTGATGCTACTTACAGTTCATACAGAGCTCACAGCAGGCACATCTGTTAGTAAAGGAAATAGTTTGTTTGGAGCAGCTTGAACATCTCTCCCAGCAGGCTTGTCTTTTAGTGAAGGCAACAGTTGATTTGTTCAAGCCTAGTCCAAACAAACTGTTTTAGGGCCAGTTCACACTACAAAAATGCATTCCGGATAGGTTTTTTGCTTACAGCTCACACCACACGCAGTTCTAGTGCAATTTTGATGCAGTTTGCGATGTTCCAGTATGGTTCTGTGCAGAAAAATGCAGCATATTCTACTTATTTTTTCTGCAGCGGAAATTGACTGGAACTGACTGCACTAGTGTGAACCTGAGCCATTGGAATACAGGGAAAACACTGTGCATGCATTTGTGATGCAGAAAAATAAGTGCACTGGACTGCATCTAGTGTGAACTAGCCCTTAATGTGACAGAAAGCTGGAGTTAGGCTTTAAAGTGACTGTTCACATATACTTAACCTCTCTCCCTTCTTACACCACTCACTAGTCACCATAGCTCACCACAGCCTCCTAAGCTTGAGCTTTAAAAAAAAAAAAAAACATTGATTTTGTGTGCAAAAAACTTTGCAGTGCATCTTGACCCTTACCTTTCAATGAACATGCATGTATAAAACTGGCTGTACGCTGTTAGTATTCTTCCACTGAATGAAAGAGATGTAAAAGTATTCTCATCCACACTATACAGAGAAAATAGACAAATCCACCTGCTGAACTAACAGTCATCTGTATCTATGTCAGCCTGATTGACGATTGTATTCAGGCACTATTTAGCCAACATCTTTCCAGTAGACTCTTTCGTCTCGTTGATTTCAAAAGGGCCACTCGTTGAACAAAATTTGGTAACCATGGTTTACAAAAATCTCTGCAGAAAATGTTTTGGCTCTTGCTTTCTCTCCATCCTCTTTTCTCCCTCATTCTTTCATTTCTGTCTCTTTCTCCCCTCCCTCTCTCTCTTTCTCCCTCCCCTCTCTCTCTTTCTCCCTCCCTCCTCTCTCTCTCTCTCTCTTCTCCCCCCCTCCTCTCTCTCTTCTCCCCCCTCTCTCTCTCTCTTCTCCCCCCCCTCTCTCTCTTCTCCCCCCCCTCTCTCTCTTCTTCTCCCCCCCTCTCTCTCTCTTCTCCCCCCCCTCTCTCTCTCTTCTCCCCCCCTCTCTCTCTCTCTCTCCTCCCCCCCTCTCTCTCTCTTCTCCCCCCCTCTCTCTCTCTTCTCCCCCCTCTCTCTCTCTTCTCTCCCCCCCTCTCTCTCTCTCTCTTCTCCCCCCCCTCTCTCTCTCCTCCCCCCCCCTCTCTCTCTCTCTTCTCCCCCCCCTCTCTCTCTCTCTTCTCCCCCCCTCTCTCTCTCTCTTCTCCCCCCCCTCTCTCTCTCTCTTCTCCCCCCCCTCTCTCTCTCCTCCCCCCCTCTCTCTCTCTCCTCCCCCCTCTCTCTCTCTCTCCTCCTCCCCCTCTCTCTCTCTCCCCCCCCCTCTCTCTCTCTCTCCTCCCCCCCCCCCTCTCTCTCTCTCCCCCCCCTCTCTCTCTCTCTCTCCTCCCCCCCCTCTCTCTCTCTCTCTCTCCTCCCCCCCTCTCTCTCCTCCCCTCTCTCTCCTCCCTCCCCCCCTCCTCTCTCTCTCTCTCTCTCTCTCTCTCTTTCTCATTTCTCTCTTTCTCCCTCTTTCTCATTTTCTCTCTTTCTCCCTCTTTCTCATTTCTCTCTTTCTCCCTCTTTCTCATTTCTCTCTTTCTCCCTCTTTCTCATTTCTCTCTTTCTCCCTCTTTCTCATTTCTCTCTTTCTCCCTCTTTCTCATTTCTCTCTTTTAAACAGAAAAAAGCTTCAAAACACATTTCAACTCGCATGCGGTTTTTGCAGAGCTTTTGTTTTATGCATGTTATGGTGTGAGCCATTAGCCTTTTAACTTGATCCCTATGTTCTTTTTGGAGCCCAATGGATTCAAAGCACAATCTGTAAATGAGGCTTTGACTAATGTCCAGATTAAGACTCGCCTCCTCATGGAACTAAGCTCCCTACCTCTCCATTCATCCTTCATATGCTGATGAATGTCGGACATTTGACAGTTGAATGTCACGGCTTTGTACCAGAGGGGGTGAAGCTTAATTTCTACTTGGGCTGAAATCGAGGCCTCCTCCATAAAGCTTTGGTGCAAGGGGGCTGCACATAGACTCAGAATTACAGCTATTTTACTCTTTTGAACTTCTGTTTGATTTTACTAGTGATGTTCCAGGTTAACTTTGTAGCATGCTGTAAAATCTGTTTCTGAAGAAAAAAGGAATCAAACCTTTAACTGGAAAGAGAACAAAAAGTGTTACAACATTTGACCTATAATAGTTGTTACAAATAAAGTGGTTTCAAAAAAATTTTTTTTTCTTTTTTTTTAGACAAGTAAAGGTGATGAATTATCCAGTCGTATACAGAGCATGCTGGGTAATTATGAAGAAGTTTATGAAGAAATAAAGGAATTGATTGGTGTGACGTCCCACCAGAATCCTATTAGTTTCCCTTCAAGTGCTTTACCAGTCTCTTCACTAGTGAAATCCGATAAGCAGCACTCTTTTCAAAGCGCTACCCGTCGGTCTTTGGGGCCTTCTGATATGTCTTTGGGGCCTCGGCAAAGGCCTCATACGGGTTCTTTCATATCCTCTAATGAATTGAGAGAGAGCCACAGCCAACATCGTGTGAGCCTTCAGGATAGCATTGTTCATGACCAGCGCACTACTGTCATGTCTATGGAGAGAAGTGTCAAGCAAACTCAAGAAGGTAGCTCTGCTAAACGGTCATCCTCCCCTGTGTCCATCTCAGCCCTTTCCCCTCTACTGTCATCCTTGTCACCTCCAGTTGAGCCATTGTCCCCATTACATTCCAGCCATCAAGTTGATTCCAAGCCGCGGGGTGGGCAAAGCCATGCAAAGTCTCACCACCGTGCTACAAAATCTCCAACTTTGAATGACACAAGCAACAGAGAAAGCACTGCTACTGTTGCTAATTTGGTGCCTTCGTCACAAACTTTCCCAAAATATTTGACAAATAGTACATTGCCCCCAAAGCCCACTGCTTATGTACGGCCCATGGATGGTCAAGATCAAGTTCCTACTCATTCTCCAGATTTGAAACCACTTCAGGAGGACTACCATGAGGAGTCATATGGAAGTCATGTAGATCTAAAACTTCGTGGCAAGGATAAGTTTTCCAAACCAGCATCTGAACCATACGAGGTAAGTCCTTCAGTAACTCCAAAATATGCAATGCTAATTCTGATTATTTCAGTGCCCTATTGTTCAATATATTTGTAAAAATTCTCAGGACTGCAACTGTAAATTTTATTTCTGTTGAGCTTGCTGTACATACAGTATATCCAATTTTATGGGAAATGTTTACATTTTGCTTATGGCCTTGTTGACTGCCTGCATGCAACTGAGGTTGAAAAGGGACTGTTTACACACTGTGTGGATGTACAGTGCTGGAGTTTATTAGATCGCATACTGGTTCCTGGGGATCACTAAGTTTTGCAAGTTAGGGCCAAACTGCAGCGTGGGTGCCGCACAGTGTACCTGCAGTTTTCATGCGGGTTACCTGCGGTTTCCTTAGACTTCTATTAGATGGCATGTTTTTGGCGGGTTTTCTAAAAGCTTTGGTAGTGTGAAACCACCCTAATATTTGCAGAATGTGAATTTAAATTTAGCTACAACCATGGGTTAAGCTCAACTGGGGAATTCTGAGGAAGATTTTCATAATCTCCCTAGAGAGGCCCTACAGCTGTAGAGAAGGCATCACTAAATGGCGGACCATGGTCTGTACCTGGACCAAGCCACTATCCTATACGGACCTCTGCAGTCATGCCATTTAAGACTTGCTTCTTTCCTCAAGCCTCGACCACTGTCATTGTCACAGTAGAGCGCAGAGCAGGAGGTAGGATTTTTCTGGACAGAGGGTAGACGGCGCAGTAGCACTGGACAGAGTGTGGGATGAGCTGATCGCTGGTTCTAGAAAGTGCTTTAGAAACCAGATGGAATAACACATTGTCTAACATTTATTATTCTTATAATTTAAGTGTTAAAAGGTTAAATCCCTTTGTTAGGAGGGCATGTATTTTCAACTCCTATCTAGCTGCTGTCACTGACAAATGTCAGCATTTGTCATATGACATGTAAACCCAAATGTTGCATGCATTGTTAAGGTTGCACTAAGCCATTACTAAGACTCTTCTGCTGAGTTGTATTGTAACTGTACTGCCTCCCTTTATATCGTAAAGGTGTTATACAAACCATTAGCGCTACAAAACAGCCCAAAGCAGTGTAAAGTAAGAAAAGGAAATCTACTTCATGTCCTTATGGTTTCAGTTTAAACCATCAGGGTACTAAACAAAAGCTGCAGTTTTGTGCAGTGTGTTCTAGCAGAAAAGCAGAACTTGAAATAAAGAAAGCACTGCAGTGTGTGCTAACAACGCATTTCACGCAGAATGTGTTATGCGCACGTGCATGCTGTGGTTTGAACAAGCCAAGGCTTTAGCAGAAGAGTTGGGGGTGCGGGATTCTTTTTAAGGGTTAGTATAAAGCTGGCTATACACTAATACATTTATTTTGTCCAGACCGTGAGCCAAATGAAAAAAATTTAACAAATTCCTCCATCCACATGAATACTCCTCTGCCTGGCTGTTGTAGCGACATATACTAGCACCAACGGTCAGAATACCTGAAAAGTGCCTGAAGCTGATTGGCTGTAGGTGATGTCCAATTAACATATTTTGGCCCAACTCCTCCTTTCATGCCATTAGGGCCCAAACACTTTAATTCCATTGCCCAACATTCTAACAGTGTATGGCCAGCTTTAGTTTAAGGCCCCATGCACACTGCAGCTGTCAAACACCTGTTTTTTACAGGAACTTAAAGGTTTTTTGTTTTTTTTTCTGCCCCTAAATGCCCCTTTGTTAGCCTGTGTGTCAATGCATGCATAGCTGTTTACAAGCATTTAGGAGCAGAAATCCGAATGTACCAAAATCTTGTTCCGGAGAGGAGCTTTTTTTGCATAAAAAACACCTGATGCGTCTAAATGCGCTTAAAAAAAGCTTTTAGCACTTGAGCGTTCACTCATTTCAGTGGCCAGAATAAGTTAGTTTGCTGGCCAATAAACAAACCTCAAACAGTGTCTTGCAGTACTCTGCTATATTACAACATGCAAAGCTAATTGAAATGAACAAAAAACATTTCCAAGTGTCTATACATACACTATAGGTGTAGTGTTAAAATATGAGTGTTCAACTTACTGCAATTCGGAAAATATATCAAGAGCCCTTAAATAAAAAAAAAAGTCCAATATGTCCATGTAATCACTTTGCGCTCAATCAAAATTATAAATGTTTCCAAGCAAAATGACAAGCACTCTTCATGAAATACTTCAGTTCTTCCAAACTTGTGACTTATATTTGTGAAGATATTCAAGTCACCATTTGTGCATGTCCCATACACCAAAAAATCCTATGCGCTCACCTTATGGTTAGATCTAACTGATATTGGGTCATATACACTTTTCCCTTATAATGGGGATCTCATAAGCCATGGATGTACTCCTCACTCTGGCACCCGGGTGTTCCTTATCAAATATCCATCCTCCGCAGTTGCTTGGCCCACAGCAACATCATGCTCAAAAAAAGAAGGCTATATAGTGCTCTCCGCATAAAGTTAACTTATTTCTTTAAATTAAAATACCAGATACTTTAACATAAATGTGCACAAAGTCTGGTGCACTATTTCCAACACACACGGTCTATGGCCTGACATCAATAGCTCCTCCCTATGCATTATGTCAGATATGTCAGATCATGTGCCTTCTTCAGGGAAATGAACGACCAATTAAATGAATTACACCCAAATGCTTGGTGTACCTGAACGCTTCAAAACGCATCTCAAAAATGTGGCATTAGGCATGTTTTTAAAGCATAGTGTGCACGAGGTCTTAGGATTCTGATTAGGGAAAAGCTTAAGTGTCAATGTCAAGAGTTCAAGTTCATAGGCCAGGAACATGTAAGGAAACACTTTTTTTTTTTTTTTTTTTCCCCTTACATGTATTGGTGGGGAGCATTTTGCCCTGCACAAAGGTACTCAACCAACCTACTGCTCAAAGTGTGTGATGAAAAATGTTGTATTCTAATAACTGTTTAATTCACAGCCCTGATTTACTTTTACGTTAACAAACTGTGGGCTTAAGGCTGCTTTCACATGAAGGGTCCGATCAGGTCTGCCTGTCAGTTTTTCAGGCAGACCTGATCGTACAGTCCATTCACCCCATGGACTGGCAGGTTTAAACAGACTTGCAACTTTTTATACCCGCTTATCTTCAGTCCACTAAAAAAGAAAGAGGGAGGGGACCAGTCCTCCTCCGTTTTAGGTGTATTGGATCAAAGGGCCAACCCCCAACCCCCTCACTGGGACATTGTATTTTGACAGCGGGATCTGATGCTGTCAGATTATACTGATCAGTGCCAGCTGATGCTGATCGACAAAAGTTTTCCAAAAATGCAGCCAGTAATGCATGTTCCTGCTCAGTGACTCTTTAGGTAATAAAAACAAAACCAAGATGAAGGCATTGTACCACTTTATGTACAGTTTTGATTCAGTAATGATACATTTTTTTTTTTATTTTTTTTCTTTCAACAAATTATGGGCTAAGTGCATGGGCCATGCCTACCATTAAGTCGTCAGTCCACTAAGGGCTAATGTTTAAAATTTGAAATAGGACATGGGTTTAACAGAATTATGTCAGGATTGGTTAGGAGATTTTATTTCATGTGTTTTTATGCCTGCCGCAATGTCAGGTGGTATTTTTGTTTATTTAGCATTTTGAAAAAGGAGAGGAAATGCTCTTTCTGGAATTGAAAAACACTGAAAATGGACTGGAACAGAAACTGAAACTAACGTTTGCTGCCGTTTTGTTCCTAAAAGATGTAAGAAGCCCAGTAGGTGTTTTGACCTACTAAACTTTTTGCATAGTTCAGATTTTACTTTTGGGTGGATTATAGTGAGATACTATTATTTTAGCTGTGACATTTTACATGTACTTGTCTTTTATTATCCATAGATCTGTGAATGTGGTCAGACATAATGCATTATGCAACAACACTCAAGTCATTGGATTGGCTGGTTGGTCCAAGAAGGACAACCTGCTTGACTTAAGTTCCCCATTTATGAGAAAGGAGAGAAGAAATCAGGAAGGATGAAAGGATCTGGGCCAGGTTTTCTAACTAATGCCCCCCTTTCCTCTTGAATGGCTGGCTGGGCATGGTCCTGACTCTCCAATACACAGGAGGTCATTACCAGATTAGGCAAATTTCTTTCTCGTGTTTATGGGTAATTAAACTTTATAGTGCAGAGCCCTAGAAGTGGTCTGCCTGTCATATGATGCCCACAGACCATAGCAGGCAGATAGATATGCAGGAAAAATTAGATCTCCCTCCACCATCAGTTGGTTAACGGTTCCAACAAAAGTGCCTCACAAGTCTAATATTTGTTTTGACACCTATGAAAAGGAGAAAGAAGTTACTGGTTCAAATTGCAGAGTCTCTTTAAACTATGGGGAAAAAAAAGGGAA